AAAAAAAAAAAAACAAAGTGAGCACTTGAAATAGTACCATTTTGGTTTACGAATTATTTTTATTTTTTAATTTCTTTTATAACAACTTTTGTTTTTAATGATATAAAGAGCATTAAAGAAAAACAAAAAGGCTTAGGCGGCCCTGGATGGTCCACACTTCCGGCCGCCCCACAGACCCTGATAAGTGATAACAGTAGCAGGTGCAGTACGCACAGCACATGAAAGGGCAGCCCATCTGCTTTTATATATATATATATATATATATTTGGTAATAACTTTTTTATATTTGGAGTTGAATTGAGTTCGTTTGAATCTCATACAAAAATTTTCACAATATTTATTTTTTTATTCATATAATTTAAATAGAATTTTTTTTATTCAAATCAATTGATTGTTGGTATATATAAGTATATATATATATATATATATACATATTGAAAATAGGCAATGGACCATCTGCATATTGTGTTCACAGTTGGCATGAGAAAAAGATCAAACATTAGTCGTCTTTATTTTCCATCATATGCATGTTCATAGAATCATTCATAAAATATCAGAGCTGGGGATCGAGAATCAATCCTTACACAGTTGCTGCCGTTGCCATGTGTAGCCATGTATCTTCTGTATTACTATCTCTTCTCTGCCACACCATTTGTTTCCTTCTCCATCGATCATTTTTGTTCCTTTTCGTTTGGGGTCCTGAATTTGAACGAGTTCAAATGATGAGACCATTTTTAATTTATGAGATTCAGTTTCTTAGATCTATCTACCTACCACAGAAATTACTAATACCATATATATATATATATATATATATATATTGTTGGTAAATACACGCTTTATAAATCTAATACCATGTTTAATTAGAAACCCTAACCAAATTCATTGACTTCGGACTTGTGACCTATCAAGCCCAAGATGGGCTCGCAATATGCAACAAAAATCTTAATCTATATTAAGGTTAAAGTCTCTGTAAAAATAGTTGTAATCTTTCTTTTAATCCCTTAAAATTCTCTTTGTTCAAAATATAAATATATAAAAGAAAATATATATATCAATTTCAAATTTTAAAATAAATTGAAGTTCTAACATTAAATTAAGTTATTTTAATTAATTAAAACTTAATTCAAAATTTAAAAATTTATCTTATTAAATATTGATATTTAAATTTTAAAACTAATTATATTAAAATATATAATCAATTTTTAAATTTAATTATTAATATTTAATAAGATAAATTTATAAATTTTATATTGAGATTTGGATTTTTAAATTTAGATTGAAATTTTAATTTTTTTTGGGAACATGAACTGATATGCACTAACCTCATAAATAAATAAATAAATAAATATGATACGATAATTAAATGAATAAATATATATAATATCATCAATAAATTTTTAAATAAAAAATTAATTATATAATAAATTTATAATATTATATAATATTATAATTATAATATTTTTGTATTTATAATGGAAATCAGTTCTTTTAAAAACTTTCTTTAAGAAACTCTTTACCTATTTTGATTTTATATGGTAAAATTCTGCCTTTGAAAGCGAATATAAATATTAAATAGTAATTACTAAGAAAATCAAAGCAAAAATATTCACGACTCTAATTGCAAGTCGAATGTATATTCAATTATCTGCCTGCAATAATTGTTCCATACCACAATATGATCTCAACCGTCCAATCCCAATTCTTGACACGTGGCAAACACCCAGAATAACAAACGAAAGTGGAAATAATTCCCAACTACCATTATTATAATTACAGCGTCCAATACTATTCTTAGAATTGTCAAAAAATTTCTAACTACACAACACGCTCCCCACTTCCCTGTAATTATCTCCACAATCTTTGCTTCTTTCTGCAATTTAATTTTACAACACAGAAAACTGTAATAAACCGACAAGCAGCCAGGTCCGTTGAATGATGACGGTCGGCGGTCTTATATGAACGCCACATCATTATTTCTACCTCCCCTGTTTTGTTCTTTTGCTTGAAAATTTTGAAAGCCCTGAACTTTTTTCTCTCTTGGAAAAAGGATCTCTCTTTCTCCCCTATTTTTAATACCCATTTCAAATTCACTTCCTTTGGTGCTGTTTTTTGGCTGCTGAACTGAATGATGGCAACGTTGCGAGAGAGGTTCTGTGCTTTTTTCAATAATAGATGGCTGGTGTTTGTGGCTGCAATGTGGATACAATCCTGTGCAGGGATTGGTTATCTGTTTGGGAGCATATCGCCGGTGATAAAGACCTCTCTCAACTATAACCAGAGGCAGATTGCTAGATTGGGTGTGGCTAAGGATCTTGGAGACAGTGTTGGATTCTTAGCTGGGAGCTTGTGCGAGGTTTTACCTTTATGGGGTGCTCTGCTCGTTGGTGCTTTGCAGAATGTTGTAGGGTATGGATGGGTGTGGTTGATTGTTACAGGAAGAGCTCCGCGTTTGCCTTTGTGGGCTGTGAGTATCAATCAAAAACAATTTTCCCTTTTCAATACTTTGTAATGAATGAAAAGATTAAAACTTGGTAATTTTTGTTTTAGTGCTTTTTGATTTAATTCATTGACTTTGCCTGTCCTTTTCATTTCTAGAAAGAAAAATTTTCCTTTCATATTTTTCAAGTTTATACCTCGATCATTTTTGGATAGGATGATGGATTTTTCATTTCTGTTTCTTTGGATTAATATGATTTGGGGAGTTTAATGCTAGGATTCCCAATTTTCTTCATCTCATTGGTTTCCTTACAGAATTGGTTTCTCTCTTGATGACATGATAGAATCAGTTCTCTCTTTATTACATGCTGCTTCATGGAACTTTTTTTATTGTGAGACATCAATAAACTCCCTCCCAAGAATGGGGTATCACACCCATATTTGGTTTTATTTAATGCTACAATTATTCAGAATGTCCAGATTTATCATGCTGTTTAGCTTTTATTATTATTGTTTTCCTTTCTATTTTTGTTTGAGAAATTGATTGATACCGTTGGCATCAATGTCATTCAAAGTTATTGTCTTCTTCTCTGTGTTTCTAAAAGATTAAGTGAAAAATGTTCCAGTATTTTTTGGTAACTCACATTGATCAGAATGTTAACCCATATCAGCTTGCAGATGTGTATCCTCATATTTGTGGGGAACAATGGTGAAACCTACTTCAATACAGCTGCCCTGGTTTCTTGTGTGCAAAACTTTCCCAAGAGCCGGGGTCCTGTGGTGGGAATACTCAAGGGATTTGCTGGGCTGGGTGGTGCAATTTTGACTCAGATATATACGATGATTCATCACCCTGATCATGCATCTCTTATATTCATGATAGCAGTCGGACCAGCAATCATAGTCATTGCTCTAATGTACCTTATCAGACCTGTGGGTGGCCACAGACAAGTTCGACCATCTGATGATGCAAGTTTTACTTTTATCTATAGTGTGTGCCTCCTTTTGGCTGCTTATTTAATGGGGATCATGCTTGTTGAAGATCTAGTTGATCTGAGCCACACAATAATCACAATTTTCACTGTGATTTTGCTGTTTCTTCTCATCATTCCTATTGCAGTTCCCATTACATTGAGTTTTTTCTCAGTGCCTAGAGATTCAGAAGAAGAGGTTCTTCTGCCAAAACCAGAGAAACAAGAACCAGGAAAATCTGAACATGATGTCAATGAGGTAATATTCAGTGAATTGGAAGATGAGAAACCTAGAGAAGTAGACCTGCTTCCTGCTTTAGAAAGGCGAAAACGGATTGCTCATTTGCAAGCGAAGCTATTCCAAGCAGCTGCAGAAGGTGCAGTGAGAGTGAAGAGGAGGAGAGGTCCTCATAGAGGGGAGGACTTCACCTTAATGCAGGCTTTGATCAAAGCAGACTTTTGGCTTATCTTCTGGTCTCTTCTATTGGGTTCTGGGTCAGGATTGACCGTGATAGATAATCTTGGTCAGATGAGCCAATCCTTGGGCTATAATAACACTCATATATTTGTATGCCTGATCAGCATTTGGAACTTCCTTGGTCGTATTGGTGGGGGTTACTTCTCTGAGGTTATTGTGAGGTACAAACTACCTTTTAATCTTTTACCTAAGGCCGCTAGATTTTTTATTTTTTATTTTTTAAGCAATGGACTTGACTTGACTCAATTTGCTTTCCCTTTTTATTTGTGGTTACTGAATAGGGACTATGCTTATCCAAGACCTATTGCAATGGCTGTTGCCCAGGTTGTCATGGCTGTTGGGCATGTCTTCTTTGCCATGGGATGGCCTGGAGCAATGTACATTGGGACTCTGTTGATTGGGCTTGGCTATGGTGCTCATTGGGCAATTGTGCCAGCTGCTGCCTCTGAGTTGTTTGGCTTGAAAAAATTCGGGGCATTATACAATTTCCTCACACTGGCAAATCCTGCTGGTTCACTTGTCTTCTCAGGCCTAATTGCCAGCAGTATATATGACCGAGAAGCAGAGAGGCAAGCTCACCAACCCCATCTAAACTCACAGAATTCAGGGATACTTTTCTCAGTAATTTTTGCTCAGGATGATCCACTTACATGTAAAGGCTCCATATGCTTCTTCCTGACTTCCATGATTATGTCAGGATTTTGCATTGTTGCAGCTGTCTTAAGCTTGATTCTTGTATACCGGACAAAGATTGTGTATGCCAGTCTCTATGGAAAGTCCCGCAATTGATCAAGAGATCCAGAAAAGGTCTTTCACATGTATCTTATTGGCTGGGATTATATGTTGCACCAGCGCTATGGGATTGTATGTTGTACAAACTAATACATCAGTGCTCCTATGTGTCTGGAGATACCATGAACACATTTTATTTATTGCTATCTAGTCCAGGGATATCATTTCCTTGTGAAAGATTAGCTGTGAGTGTTTTTTAAAGTCAAGTGTTGCAGATTCTACTCTGCTTTATGGAAACTCAGCTTGGATTTAAGGGATCCAAACCACCATGTTGTTGAACATATTTCGTCTGGGTTATAAACCAGACTTCTTCACTCCTTGTGTCTTTGTCTGTTATTCAGTGCCAGGGTTCATGGAGGACCTGTTAATTCAAAATCTAGAACTACTTTTTACTAGTGATATTCTCTGCCGCAAAGACAGAAATCAACATGTCACAAGTTTTAGAAGCCATTTATTTTAACCAAATGGCCAAACTATGAAATCAGAAAACAGAAATCAGTAATGAATAAATGTGAAGTAACAATTATCATTATATTTTTCTTGTTTTTCACATTTACATGGCAAATCCTCCTATGAAATCAGAAATGAATGATGAGCATCGTTTTTGGAATCAAATGCTCCTTATTTCAACTTGCAGTGCTCAATGCAAAGATCTTCCTTTTTCAAGAATTATTGAATGCCGTACAGTCCCTCCTTATCTCCCCCTGCTTCCCAGTCTTGACTTTCGTCCTCCCTAGCTTCCTCATTGCTGCGCCAAAGGCTCCATTGAAGTCAGTAGGATTATTAGCAAAATCATTCACGGTAGACCGAGATGCAGGGTCAGTGAACAGCACTTCATCGGAAGTGAACAACCCCTTCCCGTTGACCAGATTCTTGTAGTACATATTGTCAAATTCTTGTGGAGTTACAGGATCCATGTCAATGGCAATCGAGGGGTCTACATTTCGAGGACAAGCCTGCATCAACTGGACGGCATAGGACGAATTCAGAGTAGGATCCACTTGAGAGGACTTTGAAAATGAGTATATCCTGTTTGCGAATCGGTCGCAGTGAGAAAAACCGACTGTATGTGCTCCGGAGAGTGCAATCATGTCAGTTTGGGTAAGGTTGTTCTTGGCAAACAGAGCATTAAGTTGATCCAGATCGAAATCAGGCTCCGGTAGTTTTCCGGCCACGGATGATGCCTTTGATACGAGACCATCAAGACGTCCCAATTCTACATCGAAAGAAGGACCTCGAGCCTGGAATAATTCGGAACAGAACATATGATTAGCTTTGCTTTGAAGTTCTACTTGCTCTTTTGTATGCTGCACATGGTTCTGTTCTGTTTTTTTCTTACCTTGACAACAACATCCCTGGCAGCAATAGCCAGAATATCTGCACAGGACACAACTCCAGGGCAGGCCTGTTCAACTGCCGCCTTTGCCTTAATTACGGTGTCGAATCCGTCCCCTGCAAGGGACAAATTGTCCGGAGCATCCTTCTCTGCATCCCCATTTGGCGACGAAATCAGGATTGATGCATCACATCCCTACAAAAAATGATCACATCCAATTCCTCAGATAATATAAGAAGTATATGTTAAGAGGATTTATCAAGGGTGGAAGTCCTACCTGAACAAAGCAGTCATGGAAGAACAGACGCAGGGTTGCCGGAACCGTGACGAAAGTCTGATTAACCTTAGTGTCCACCACCTGTTTCACAATGGATTCCACATTGGGGCAAGTAGAGCTGTAGAAATTTTCTGATAACTGTCCCTCCCCCCTCTGCATAATAACCATAAAAACTGTAATTGACAGCATCAAGGGTCTCCATGCCTCCATATCCCCTCCCTACACTTAGCCTTTTTGCAGCTTTAGTTTTTCCTAGCCTCTCCGCTGTTATATATGACTCCAATATAAATAATAAGAAAGAAATAAGAGAAGGGAAGCATGCATACTAACGAACCATATTTTGTCATACATGGAAATGTTCAATAATTTATTGTCTTGTAAGACCGTCACTCCAATATCAAATTGACACTTGAGCTTTGAATCTCCTCATTGGTCATCATCATGGAACCATTAAAAGAAAATACCAGTCTAGTTATTTCCAAGCCATTGCCATGACATCATCTGCCCCTAAATAAAATTGATCATTTTATAGGTGTTTAGTTACGTGATGATGTTGTGTCTCTATATTATATAAGGAATGATTTATTTAGATGTAAATTTTAAATATTATATTTATATAAATCTCATATATTCATTTTTTTTATTTTTTTAAGGGTTAATATTTATTTATATTTATTAAAAATAATTATTTTTTTCATTTTAAAAAATCGTAATAAATATATTGTATAATACTTCTGTATAAATGGATTTTTCCTTATATTATATAAAAAAGATGTAGAAGTAGAATATTGTATATAAGGATGTTATAGGGATAACTTTTTTATACCATATTTTTATACAACTTTCATATGTTATTAAATGAGTTGATGCATTTAATTCACGAGTCTCACATAATTTAAAAAAACAAATTATTTAAATAACACGTCAAATTGTATAAAAAAATGAGGCAGAAATGTTGTACAAAAATTATTTCCCTATTGTACATATGTAAGTCAGCGCTCAAGATATATATATTTTGATATTGGCACATTGGTATACAACAATACAAATCTGATCAAAATCATAGGCCAAAGGGTTAGTATGTGAACCAACAAGTCAAAAGAGAATGATAAAACACAGCTACATATTTATCTGTCTTTGAAAATTTCTTGCGTGTTTCGTGGATTGAGCCTTTTTCAAAGTGTAAACCTCTTACAAGCTGGAGATGATAATGACAGTATAACAAATCCTCACTCAGAATATGGAACATTTGGCAGAAGAATCTTTATTCCGCGTTAGAAGTATAAAATATTTGGCCATTTCAATGCTCTTTTTCCATTATATGACTCTTTCAAGAAACGTAAAATTAAAGAACAGGACTATTTCTGCATTAGGTAGCCTGTTCTTGTTACTAATTCCAACAAAATTAATTTTCCTTTGAAAAATTCTAATTGTTGTATTCACAACAATTACAATCAATTTCTTTTACTTAGTAAAATGCGAGCATTGATATACATTTTTTTTATTAATGACATGTATAAATCTCTCCCAATATTATAAAATTTTGTTAAATACCAAACACGAGAGTTAAAATAACTCTTCATAATTTTAAGCATGCATGAAACAGGGCATTTTTTTTTTTTTCTAAATTTTTGGAGTGGGCAGGATTAGGAAATAATAAAATGTGGAAAGCTGTGTGTGAAATTAAGGGTTGGTTGGTACTAATCTTTCAAGGGTCTGATTTTGCCTCCCCTCCCCCACATGAGATGGTTCTGAACCTAATCAAATTAAACAAAGTTTCAGTGATTATGCACACTGCAATTTGCAGATTACACTTAAGTTGCTCAATAAACTAATGGCCACCATGATCCTTTCTCTCTTTTTTTTTTTCATTGAGTTGCATAATAAAAAACAATTATTTCTTGTCCTTTTAACATACTCTACCCACATAACATATTAGTTAAATTCAAATTTTTTTATTTTTATTAAAAAAAATTATTATGTATCTTCTTTTAAATAATTTTATTTCAGAACATTAATTGAAACTTTTGACCTAATCCACACAATCTTTTTTTTTTTTTTTTTGGTTTCTCGCCCAGTATCTGGGGTTTTGCCCCGACTAATCTGGACCCGACCCGCGTCGCGTACCTGAAAATGATGGGTGAGTTTCCCAACAGGAGCTGCTGCGTACACAAAATCTCAAACTCAAGATCTTATTTAAACTGAAACAAACCGCTTATCACTTCGTTGGTACACAATCCTTTAACCACAAACTTATCTATCATTTACTTGGGTCTGCCTCTGCCATCACTAGACCTTACCGGGCTGAGTCCAACCCGAAATTTTATGGTTAAATATTAATTTTGGTCCCTCAACTTTAAGGTTTACATAATTTTCATCTCTTATTTTTTTATACACTTTTTTAATCCATTAACTATGATAAATACATTTTTTTTATTTTTTTCGTCAGTTAATTTATTAAGTTTGTCTAAATATATGTATTTTAGTTCCTTAACTTTAAGTTAAGGGATGAAAAATATGCATATATTAAAAGTTGAGGAACTAAAAATATACAAATTCAGATAGATTTAACGGATTAACTAATGAAATGATTAAAAAAATGTATTTTTCATAATAAACAATAAAAAGCATATAAAAAAGTTAAAGAATGAAAATTGTGTAAAACTTTAAAGTTGAGGGATCAAAATTATCATTTAACCAAATTTTATACCCGAACATAATGCGTTTCCTTACATTGCGTTCAGGTTAGGCCCATGATATACTGATAGGGCCCAGCGAAGTGAATGGGTCATATCCAAATCCAGGCCCAGCAATGGATAAGTTCGTCGAGGTGCGTATTTAGGTCAAAAAATAACAAAATTTTTAGGGTTTCTGGATCTGAACGACAATTGGAATTAGAACTGAAAGCAGAAGAGAAAAAGGAAAGGAGGAAATGGACGCCATTGATTCAGTGTTCGATCCTTTGAGGGAGTTCGCTAAGGACAGCGTTCGTCTCGTGAAGAGGTGCCACAAGCCCGATCGCAAAGGTTTGGTTACGGATCTAATGATTTTTTTTTTCCTGTTTTTTGAAATCTTGTAGATCGATGCGAATTTTTTTTTGTTTTGTGGTTTTTCAGAATTCACGAAGGTGGCGTTCCGTACGGCAATCGGCTTCGTGGTGATGGGATTCGTAGGGTTTTTCGTTAAGCTCATCTTCATCCCCATCAACAACATTATCGTCGGATCTGGTTAGATGCTAGGGTACGATTCTTTTCAATATTTATTTCGCTTTTTTTTTTTATTTGTGATTTTGATCTTAATTAATTATCATTCATTTGTTCGTGAATGAATTCTGAGATTGTTATGTTTGTAGATCTGAAACCTAAAAGATGTTCTGTCCCCTGTTGATTAGGGGATGTTGATCTTGATTCATCTAAATCTCAAATCTGTGTGCTTTGATTTTTTTTGATGATATGATCTGAAATTCAATGAAGCAAGAACTGAATTTTGCCGATCTTGATTCAATTCTAATTAGATTTTTTTTTTTTTTTTAATGTGCAGATGGTTGCTTGAAGTACTGGGCAGGAAAAATGGATGAAAACTTGGTGGGGTTGCTTAGAATTGGCAGAATTTATTATTTACCTGGCAATTTAGGTTGAGAAATTGGAAATACCTGATTTACTGAACTGTTTTGCGGTTTTTGTTGGAAACACCACTTATCTGTTTTACATTGTAGTGTTGTTGAAACTTTTTTGATGCATTGTTAAAGATCTTGACTTTTTGGTCACCTTGGCTTTTGTTGTTTAAATGATTATCAAACAGCTTCAATTCCATCTCTTTTTCGGTAGAGTAGATTAGTTGATGACTTGGTGGTTATCAGTGACAATTCCCCCATTGTCAAAATTCCATGACATGGTCCTTCCTATTCCTTTTTCAAGAGACCTATTTTTGCCTCAATTAAGAGTTTTAGATTTCAAATTTTAGATTTCAAATGAGTTAAGAGCTTACGATTTTAAAAAAGTAATTCAATGGTTAAAAACTTGAGACTTAAACGAGAGATCTGAAGTTTGAAACTTAAGAAAATGAGAAAACTATTCATTCTTATATAGTTTATTATCATTATCAGATGTAAAAAAAGAAAAAAAAAATTCAGGATATGATCCTTCCTATTACTTTTTAAGGAGACTTTTTTACCTAATACCGAAATGCACATTGGAAAAATGCAGAATATCAAACATGAGAACCGATTTATTCACTTGATGAGAGGATAAAGTCAAAGTAGCGCACGGAAACTAGAATTGGCTAGCTTGATATCAAAGTGTGTACAATTGCAACAAAAAAATATTCAACTGACAATGTCAATAAAAGAATCAAGCAGATGATCTGTTTTTCGAATTAGCAAATGGGACTCTCATCTGTAGCATCTGCAAGTACTAGTTCTGGTTGAGCAACAATTCCTTCGTTTCTTGCCTTCTTACGTTCTCTCTGCATACTGAAGTATTCTCTCTTCCTTGCTCTGTAGCTGTTGGGGTTCTCGGGTTGTAGCTCTTGGGGATAAACACTTACCTATTGAACATATCAGCCTGCAATTTGTCAGTTCATGGTATCTACACTTTGAAGCATTAACTGGTATTTAGGACCAACATTCTGATAGTTCATTATTATATTGATGCACATACACACAAAAAAGGAACTTGGTCTTTAGGAAATTTAAAAAAACAACCTTCTTCTTGTCGGGTCCAAACTTCTCAAATTTCACAAGACCATCAATCAAGGAAAAGATGGTGTAGTCCTTCCCAAGGCCCACATTTTTTCCTGGATGAAACTAGCAAAGAAGAAAAGAAAAGGACAAAGAAAACATACAGAGAATAAGAGAGCAGACAAAGACAAAGAGGTAATGATGAGTTGTTACCTGAAACATCATTGAATTCAAATACACTATCCAATGCAGTGAACAAACTACTGAAGCTAGGGTTACAGGAGATAAAGTAGTGAATGCAGTAAACATTACTGTTAGGGAAGTTAATTAATCTGCCTCTCTGACCCTTTTTCCTTTTAAGAACCAGGCTTCTGTAGGTGACAAAAAACTTAATTTATCAATGAACCAATCACTAAAGCCCTAAATACAAATCAAACCTACCGTTTTTGGACTTTTCACCCCTTCAATCGTGATAGAACCACACTTGTCAAGGTATTTAACTGAAGCAGATTAATGACATTATCACTTGAAACCAAGTCTTCATAGCTTGGTTGTCTTCTCTACTTGAAATAGAATCCTCTTAATTATAGTACCAGCTGCTTGATTATGCTTTCCAAGCAGCTAGTATTTGATAACAACACACGATATTTCCAGGAATGGGTTTTAACTTCAACTTTAAACCTACCATCACTATTATCAAAGATGCTTCAGATCTCACCAGCCCTCACCAAGCTGTGGTTAAACAGGAATATCAATTGATCCACACAACATATCGTATTATAAAATAAGTTAGGTCATCCATCTAGTCTGAATTGAAACCAAATGCATTTTTAAACATAGAACAAACCATGGAACTCCTTAATACAGCCCAAATCATAAGTTTCAAACTTTAAGACACACAACACAATCCATTAGTTCCTGCTTCCAAGCAATATTTGGAATTAACCAGTTCTAAGAGATATGATTCGATGACCTCTAAAAATCTGAAGAAAGCAATAATATTTTCTAACCTTCTCCTTCCAGCACATTGTTTTATCAACAACTGAAATACAATTCCATTTAACACAGTTTTCCCATCCTATCTAGTGTTGATTTCTCTCATTACTTGTGCATAAAATGGTGAAAAACAACTAATTCTAGGAGAGATTTAAATTTTGCAAGCCCTTTCTACCCACTTCTATTGCTTTTCCAATAAAAATCATTCCCCAATAATCAAAATACAGACTTTTAATTCAATCTAATTGCTTTGTCAACAGTCAACATATGGTTAAAATAGCAAAAAACCCAAAAAAAATTAAAGAAATTGAAGCTTACCTTGGTTCCTCGCTGCCTAACAATGATAGCACCAGGCTTGGCCACCTGGTCACCAAAGATCTTGACCCCGAGACGTTGGCCTCTAGAATCGCGACCATTTTTGGTACTCCCGCCTCCCTTCTTATGCGCTGCTTCAATCGTCAGCGAAATCGACGACTCCAGCGGAAACGAAACGCTTTTCGTTCTGGGATCCAGGCAGATTGAACTTCCATCACCCTTGAAAATGGATGAAGATGAGCTTGAGGACACCGAGAGACCCCTGAAAGCGCCCACTAGATTGAAGCTCAAACTGGTAGCCGCCATTTTCAACCTGAAAAAAATTGTAAAAAAAATAAAAATTTAGGGTTTTAAGCTGCCATCGGTGAGTTTGGAGGAAGATGGATGCGAGAGTGATAGAGGTGCAGGATGGATCTCATCTTTTGATTCGGGTCGGGTTGGATTGAAATATTATAACTTAATTAATTACTAATTTTTTTATTTTTTTCAAAATAAATTAAAATTTTAAC